ACGAACTGCAGGTGTCAGGTCGACCATAGAGCGTTCTCTTATACACATCTAGATGTGTATAAGAGACAGGAGAGAGAGAGAGAGAGAGAGAGAGAGAGAGAGAGAGTTGGAATAGTGGAGTTGGAATAGTGGCACCAATGAGACGAATGCAGTCGAGCTGCAATGGTGTTTTGGAATGCAGCTCGATGATGTTCCTCTGTGGTGACAGACCTTTTCGTCTGTTTCTCAAGTTATTGAAGTGGTAGGAGAAGACGCACCGATAACCGAAAAAAGTTAATTGCCGAACGTATAAGAAAGAGAGTTTTTGTGTATCTTTTTGTGCCGAAGGCTCTGATCCATGTTGTCTGTGAATGCATCTTTTTCGCAGATTAATGTCCTGGAGGGTACCAGATTTGAATGGCTTTATCATTTACTTCTGGCTTTCAACACTGGAGATCTAAGTAAATACGACGAGCTCTGTAATGTTTATGCTGCAGACTTGAATGCGCAGCCTGAGCTTGTGCAGAATGTGAAGCGGTTGCGGGAGAAGATCACTATCCTCTGCCTCATGGAACTCATCTTCAGGTCCGGTGCTTGCTCTTCCCCCCTGAAACCTCCTCCTCCAATGGTCGGTGGAATTGCCCAGCTGCAGAATGACGGTGACAACTCCTTTGATCACATGTGAATTCCCAGAATTTTTTGGCTGTCGGATTTACACCGTTCTAGCCTCAGGTCAATGTCAATCGGGAATCATTACTTTCTTGCCGGTCTGCATTCGGATGAGGTTGTCATTGTCTTCCTTCCTGCATTGTCTGTCGGCTCAGATGCATTGCTTTCTCATTCGTACGATCGCCATCAGTCTTCCTCTCAGTAGTGCGGACCTTCCTGCCGAATAGCTATGCTTTCGTCATCCCCCCACGGATGTGAACTGATTTCCTCCTAACCCCATGGGTGTTTACTGTTCTGTTGTTTTAGGCATTTTCTTGGCTTGCGTTTCCACTGTCTGCTGTGGATTTTGCTTGCATGGCTGCTGTTGCTTGGCTTGGTTTTGAAGTTGGTAGATCGGTCTGACGGAACCGTTTGATGGCTGTTTGCGCAGTTCAATGTAACGGATAGACTGATGGATGAAACCTGGTTGCTCTCTTGTGCGAAGAAAACGGAACAATGGTTACATTCTATTCCAGCAGAGTTCGATCTCTGATGTCACTTCGTTAGCCAGGTGCTGTGTGTGATGGTTCAGTTTGTTAATCCTGGTACTGTTCTTGCGTTGTATGCGGAGTGTTTTCTGTGTCAGGCACAGAATCCGCCCCGTGATGAATGGAGCTGTAGTTGCATAAATGGTCATGCTGAGTGCTGTTCATTCCGTTTGTTTTTCAATGCTACCCCACACGTGATGAATGAATGAATGAGGGCATACTCTCACTGGGTGCTGTTCATTCCGTTTGTTTTTCAATGCTACCCCACCCAAAACAGTCACAAAGATACTCTGTGACTGTTTTGGGTGCTCCTGCCGCTCAGGTCAAGTCACTAAAGGTTAACCCTGAGTAAATCAACACAGAAAAATGGTCGCTACCCCACGCAGAAAAATGGTGAATGAACCCCGAGTTAGTTGCTTAGAAACGCTGAGTAAAATTTTAATCTGGGGGTATCCATGCCGTGAAATCGTTTCATTTCAGCTTTCAACCCATCCAAGGGAAGGCACTTGGCATTGTAACCTGTGGATGCCTTTTACGGCCCGCCAGGAGTCACAGCCGGGCCCCTCTGTTGCTTATGTCTGCACTATGTAAGCTTGAGTGTCACAATTCCAGCCAGGTTATGCGGAACTATCACAGATATGAAACCGATGAGGCCTGTCCCTCAGTATTGCAAGGTACTGCACTAGTAAACAAGGCTATGGACGGAGTCCGATAAGCCCCACAGGGGGGGAAAGGGGGGGGGGGGGGGGGGGGGGTTGAAATCTGCCATCCGTCGTCCCTTTACTCACGCTTCACGCCTCTGTTCTCCTCTTTTGCAGCCGGCCATCTGAGGATCGGACAATCCCATTGGCAACAATTGCGGAGAAGACGAAGCTGCCACTTGATGGCGTGGAGTATTTGCTGATGAAGACCTTATCGGTACGTCGATCTCGACCAAGAGGCCTTTCCTTTCTTTGGTAGCGGGGAAAGGGGGTTCCCTTTTCTGGAGGGGTGAGGGTTCCGGGGGGGGGTGTTGGCATGCCCCTCTAACATCATCAAAGCTAACAAGATTTGCTCTCTTGACCAGTTGATCAACAATTTCAGGCGTCACCGTTCAACCATCAAGAGGTGTGCTGAACCACAATTCACTGGTTCCCATCCTGCCAATCCAGTGGTGACAATGGGGGGGGTGTTGGCATGCCCCTCTAGCATCATCAAAGCTAACAAGATTTGATTTCTTAACCGATTGATTAACAATTTCAGGCGTCACCGTTCGACCACCAAGAGGTTCCATTCTGCTCCACAACATCCTTGCGTCGCTCCCTGTCTCCTGCATCCCCTCTCCTGTTTTTGCTTTTCCATCCTTTCATCCCTCACGTCCGGATTCCCTCCATCCATCCTTCCATCTCTCTGTTTCTCCAACCCACATTCCTTCCTCTTTCCCTTACTCTCTCCCTCCCTACCTCCCTGCTTCCCCTCTTCCCAGTTCACTTTTCCCTCCTTCCGTCCTTCCCCTCCGTCGCCCTGTCCCTCGTACCACCCTCTCCTTTGCTCCCTCCCTCCCTCACTTACTCTCCTCCTTCCCTCCTTCCCTCTTTCCCTCTTTCCCTCTTTCCCTCTTTCCCCTGGTCCCTACCTCCCTTTCTGCCTTCCTTCCCTATGTCACTGGCCAGCTGCCAGACCTTCTACGAAAGGTTTTCAGCTTCCTTGCTTGCATACTGTGGTATCAAAATCTTCCCACTGGGGTACTGTTAGTTTAATCTGTCATGCCCTGGACCGGTTGACCTCGTGCTGCTGCGATGAAATCCGTCTGCCAGAGCTGACATGAAGACAATTATTCTTTTGGGCTTAGTACAGTAGATGTTGCTTCCAGTTTATGGATGCGTTGGCCCGATGGGAATCCGTCTTTCTGCGAGAGGATTGATTTGCAGTTTTGCTGTGTCTATGTTTGTGGCTTCTACAGGTCCATTTGATCGAAGGAGTTATCGATCAGGTGGAGGGGACGGTGCGAGTGTCCTGGGTTCAGCCAAGAGTTTTGGGAATACCGCAGATCAAGGCATTACGGGACCGCCTGGATGCCTGGCTGGCTAAAGTGCACTCGACGTTGATTGCTGTTGAATCTGAAATGCCCGATCTCTTAACTGTTTAGCGAAACCAACTGATATTGATCTTTCCTTTTACATTTCGCGTTCCTGTACTCGTCCCTGGAAAGCTGCACTGTTGCTCTCTCTCACCCCATGATCCTCGGTTTCCTACCATGCCCGACGTCAACACCTTGCATCAGTGAATCTCTCTCTCTCTCTCTCTCTCTCTCTCTCTCTCTCTCTCTCTCTCTCTCTCTCTCTCTCTCTCTCTCTCTTGCTTGTTTGTTTGGATGCACATGCTTGTGCAAATGGTGGTACTACTGGGTTTCCCTGGTGCTGAATTTGTCTGCCGAGCTACTTAATTGACAATCTGAAATTCTCCCTTGGTGTAGTTCTTAGAGAACTCCCAATCTTTACTGATCCATTTCCCACTGCCATTTTCAAGTGCTCTGTTGATGAGAATCCCCTTGTCTGATCTGCTTTGGTGACGGCGAATTACTGAGATGCTGCCGACCAGTCAGAGGCATGGACCATGCAGAGGTTCCGGTGATTTTTTGGAACTGGCAGTGGTCCTGGCCCTGATGACTTTTCCTGGTCCTATTCCCATTTCCCCTTGATCTCTCTATATTTCCCCTTTTTCTTTTTCTCTGTGTCCTTTCTCCCGTATTAATTGTTTGTTTTCCTTTTCGTTCCTTGCAGCGGAGTTTCATTGTTAGGCCATATTCAATGTTGGCCTGTGTTTCTTCAGAATTGAGAGAATTGAAAGGGAAAAAAAATTGCATCTGGAAGCAGAACATACAACACTCTTTTTCTTGTTGCTTCTGTGTCCATGTGTGCTCACTTCTCCCCTTCAAGCCCAGTCATAAATTTACAGTGTTTTTTTTTTGTGTGTGTATGGAAGAAGAGGATGAGAGGGCTTGTGACGCTGCCAGGAATGGATATCGAGCCGGGGCAATAAGATCTGTGTAGCACACCGAACATGTTCGGAGCTTTTCCGAACGTCCGAACATGTTCGGGTGTTGGGCCGAACGCCACCCGAACGTGTTTGGCCGAACATATTCAAAAAAAAAAAAAAAACTTTCTTTTTTTGGTTTTTAATTTTTAACTCGAGTTTGGTTACGAATTTGACCAACCTCCAAGGCAAAAGTTGTTTGCATTATTATTTTACATAACATATATATTTTTTTCAGATTTTTTGGAGAACTTTTTTTTTTTTTTTTTTTTATATGTTCGCGTTCGGAGAGTTTCGGCGCTCGTTCGCGTTCGGTCCCGAACGTTCCGGTTCGGTCAGCGAACCCCAACACGATGCTACACAGAATAAGACTCTGTTTTCTTTGTTTTTTTTCTTTTTTTCTGCAAGAAAAAAAAGGACAACAGGGCTTATTCTCTGTGGCAGATGATTAATCTGTTGTTCATGTGATTCTTTTTCCAGACGCCTGCTTTTTCTTTTTTTTTTTTTCTTTTTTTTTTGGCTTATCCTCTTAATGCTCTTGAGAACATAGTAACAAATGGACTGCACGGCTGCATGTGACGTAAACATCATGCTGTGGAGGGGCAATACTGCTGCGGAAGTAAATAAAAGGACTGCACAGCTGCATTTGACTTGCAGAGCGTGCTGTGAAGGGGCAATAGTAATAAAAGAAGACTGGAGAGCTGCATGGGACTTTCAGGTCATGCTGCAGAGGGGCCTGCAGAGGTGTGCACCTGTTTTCTGACTGCCGTCTTCATCCGAACAGAGCGCCACCGTCTTCACCCGAATAGAACGCCTGGTCATTACAGCTGTATTTGGCTTGACTTTCGGTCCAGATGCAGTTATAATGACCGTGCATTGTGTTCGGATGAAGA